ACTGTGGAGTGTGTAGTGTAGTGGTGCCATACCAAAGAACGTTCATTGCATTTGCATTAGCATTAGCAATGTGGATCCTATCCTATGCAAACCAAATCTGGCATGCATGTTACATTACATAAATGTTTGTGGGAACATTAATTGGAAGCAGAATGTCACGTAGGGACGATGTTATTGTTATGCTTTCTAATTTTTAGCCAATACCAAAGTTGGGACCCCTTCCCTTACACAAGCCCTCTCATCAATTGCATCCAATCATAAATATATAAAGGAAAACCAGTAAGCATTTGATATAGTATTTATAAATATGTAAAAAAATATATATAAATATCTTTCTAATAATAATATATATACATGTTTAAAATCTTAATTTCAAAAAGTTCAAAATTATTTTATTTAATAAAGTATCATTTCAATGATAAATATCTCATTATATCTAATGTTAATCGAAGAAATTTAACTAAGTATTAGTTAAAATAATTCATCAAATATTTATTTTCTTATATAACTAATTAATGATAAAATTAGTAGTAGTTTGATATAAAAATTGATATGACACATAATTTGTATAAAGAATGAAAGTACATATAAAGGTGATTTCATTATTATTAAAAATAATGTTATTTTTATTGTACTTTTTCACAATATATTTTTATAATATTTTTCTACCACGTTTATATTCATAATTTATTTTTCATAATATTTTTATAATTTATTTTTCATAATTTGTAATCGTAGCTAATACTATTCACATTCATATGCCATAAATATTTAGTTGAGTAGTATTTTTGTAAAGTGCAACTAGGTTTGGGCAAGTGAAGTTTTTGAGAGGATTAAAAGTGAATAGTGCTCTTTGCATCTATACGTGATTGATTAATGTGGCGTACAGTATCATATACTGACATTTTCCATTATTATTTTTTTATACCACACTATTTTCTTTTAGAATTAATTTTTTCGAATCAGTATAAATAAAAAATTCCTATTTAATGCAACTTAGAATTATTAATTAAAATAAAATAATCTTGTGTGAATTAATTTGTAGGACGGTTATATTTTTCATTAAATCACATTTCCGAATATTGGCAGTGGGTCTTTGGAACATTGATGTCATTTGCAACACAACACCTCACTGTGGACCCCTCATATCGTGTTGCTTTACTTTGCATGATTTAAGTAATAATTCCTTTAATCAGTGATCATTAACACAAAGCTTGGCACTGAATTCATTGTCTATATGCAACACTCACACATCAACCATTAAGATAGTTAAGTCATGCTCCTTCCATGATCCATCATAGAGCTGTCAAAACGGGCCAACCCGACCCATGTGGGCCGGCCCACCTTGACCCACTTTAAAAACGAGCCAACCCAACCCGGCCCACTTGTAATTTTTTCAAAAAAAATTTGGCCCGGCCCGGCCCACCACGGGTTGGTGGGTTATACGGGCCAGCCCACCAGCCCACCAAAAATTTAAAAAAAATTATTAACAAAATTCAAAATTTTAAATTAATTATAAATTAACATAATAATCATAAAATTAACATCATTAATAGTTATAAGTCATAATTCATCATACAAAATTAAATACAAATCATGATAAAAGTTTAAAATAAAAATTTTCAATATATCATCATACAAAATAAACTACAAATCATATTCAAATTTTTATTGAAAAAAAAATGGTGGGTTGGTGGGCCACCCGGCCCACCACGGGTTTAGCCCGGGTGGGCCGGGTCAAAGTGGGCCGGGTTGAAATATACCCACCTACTATAAAACTTCAATTTTTTTGGCCCGGCCCGGCCCGTTTTCAAGGTGGGCCGGGTTGGCCCACGGGTCCCGGCCCACTTTGACAGCTCTAGGAATACACCTTAAGCCTTTTCTCCTTATAGGCTCAAGGCTGGAAGGCAAGTGGACCGTCTCGCCTGTAGGCCGATTGGTATCGCCGACTC